TTCTACATTTTTACCTACATAATTTCTGGTGCTACACAAGGAATAATGATATCTGTAGCTGCTTTTTCTTTGAGAGCCTTGAAGATTTTCATTTTCAAGCAATAGGTATTATCATATGAACCAGTTCTAGCCTATATCTAACACAGTTTGTGTGCATGTAATCCATTTATGTTGAATAATATGATAAGCAAGACAGATTCTAGAAAACATGATATCCTTTCCAATCTCTAATAAAATTTAGATTACCCTTACTTACTTTTAAAGTAAAGGGCTATAGTTAAGATGACTGACTAAGGCTGCTATGATGTCAATATTATAGCTATTTTGTGATTCTACTATAGTAAGGAGAATAAAACACATGCTGATTTCAGACACGCATACTAAAGTATCTTGCTATCAGCTGCCGGTAACCATGCATATTTGTATGGGTGTACCTCAAATTTCCTCCCTTTGAAACAATGGTCTGTTTGGAGGATCAAAGGCATGTGGTGGGAAAGAAGCATTTCAAGGCTTTTCACTTTTTGCAGGATTTTTTAATTTGGTACACTATATACACTTGGTTGTGGCTAATTCTGGTTTTTGTGCTTGTCAAAGTATAAAGGGAACAATAAACTCATACTTTACCTTTCTTTCCCCAGTGGTAAATGCACAGAGTTGTCAAATTTCTATGGTGGAAACATTACATGTGCTGATGTACCAGTTAGTGATGGCATCCTCGATGCAATGACAGAGTTTGCCATATACTACTGTAGTAAGTTACCTTATAGTTTGTTAACTTCTCCTACCGTCATACAACCAACAATTTATGTTTGTAGTTCATTGCTTGTGGGCCCTGTTATAGAGAGCTGTTCTTTAGTCTTTAAACTTGATGAACAGATATAGAATTGCACTTTTTTACTCACAGTTTTTAGAGTGAAGTATTGTCTTAAAAGTCATATCCTAAACTTTGAGCACCCACTAATGAGAATCTGTTAAACTCACTTTTGTCTCTCATCTTTTCTTTGCTAGCTGTTGTGTTGATCTTTGAGTTGTGGTTACCATACACCTGTTTGCATCATCTATATTCCTAGTGTCCTTTGGTCAGTGTCTTCTTACTAAATCATTTTGGAAGATGGTCCAAAAAAGTTTTGGAATTGAGAGTGCTTCTGTTGAAATTAATCATGCTTTTAATATACGAAGTGGCTAGCTGTACTTAAGTACGGCTAGACTGAGAGTCTAGCCGTACTTAGATCTAGGTTTGGCAGTTCTAGTAATTAACTAATTGAACCTAGAGTATCATGTAGAAAATATTGAACATAGTAGGACACATGGACAGGCAAGGTAAACAGAAGATTTTATCAGAGACGATGTACTGTCCAGCAAACGTGTCTAGGTCGGTGGGCGGGAGAAGTTAATTCGTTAAATTGTATCCCCACTCCATCCCAAGCCCATGGATATCATTTTAGAGTCATGTTTTAGAGCAATGCTCACGGTCTCTATACATGTATTCTTCTTGATGCTAAAGATCAAGATCTGACGTACGTCTTTATATGGTAAGAAAAATAACAGCATAGATCTAGATCTTTTACCCATATGCCTTTTTATGGTATGCTGCGTAGAAGCGGCACTGTATAAAGCCAGTTCTAGAGCCACGAAGCAAGGATCAAGAATCAATATGGACGGAACTTCGGAACACAAAGCATTTCCCGCTCTTCCAGTGTTTTCTCTCAGCACACTGGCTCAGTCACATGGGACTTTGTCAATACTCACAGGTCACTGGTGAAGTTTATTAAAACGACGTGGAAAAGAGGACGTGGGTGAAATGATTCACGAATAAGGGATGGGCTACTGAATACATCTGTGCCAAAAGCAAGAGAAACAAGCAACTGATTCCATTCCTTAAACGGACATGGATAGAGCAAGTTAGTCTATGCACGGGTGTGGCTGCGAAAGTTGTTATTATTATTGATCACTTTTGTCTGTTGTAGACAAACTCGTGACTTAATATTTTCCTGACTTCTAAGGCTGGTCAATTTAAATAATGAGTAAAAAATGTGTCGTATTTCAGTTCGTTGTGTATCCTTCTCTTTCTCTTTCTTGGAAACGTGATACCATTTTATAGTAGTGCGTTCAAAGCAGTACTGATTCAAAGTATAAAACCTGTCTTCGGCGGCCCGCTATTGCTTCTTGTGTGTTCGACAAAATGGCTCTCGAAAAAGACCGGAGCGGCTTTTTTAAACTTCATCGAATTTCTTAAAACTATATACATGTATTATATCTAAGTCTCTTTTTAACTTCTTTTTCCATCTAGCTCACCATAGTTGTTTTGTGGGTTTTTTTAATCCCCGAAGCCTGTAGATTTAATATGCTACAAGTCTTAGTATAGATTCAGAGTCACACATTAAAATCATTTTTAGCTGCGCAAAATTGTCTAAATTTAAGAGTATGTGTTGGTCCTACCTACTCAATGGTAGAAGGGGTTTAGATTATCACCCAAGTTTCGTAATCGTCAAATTACACAAACCAGCCCAATTAAGTCAGACCACATCCCTCAAACTCAAAATTGCGAAGATGATTCACGGGCGCACGCCAGAACTTTGTTTCGTTTTACACAAAGGATTACATAGCAAATAAAGGTTCCTCTGTCGTCAAATTAATGAACCTTCGGTGCTACGCGATCACTTGTTGAGTTGTGTGCGCCCCGTAATTCCATACTCTCTCTCTCTCTCTCTCTCTCTCTCTC